CTTGCTATGGAGCTAACGAGTCTTTGTCAGCACTCACTTTCGCGCTACAAAGCGGAGTTAATAAATTTGTGTATTTTTTAACTTCTAACTTTCGCAGTTACTGCCAGCCAATTTATATATTACACATTAAAAACCTTTTAGCTTTTTGTTAGATTAGCCAAATTGGTAGTGACATTGTGTTACATTAAAAAACGACAGTTATTTTTGTTAAAATTGTAATAAACAAAAGGAGTTACGCATTTTCAAATCTTTCTTCTTCAACATTTTTTTTAGACATTCCCCCCAGCTAATCCACATTTCTACCTTTTTTTGCTTTGCTTAAATTTTTCGCGCATTTTCTGTTAAAGTATAGTTAAACACACTTTTTCGGAGCATTTCTTCTTACTCTAAACTCTTTCGACTTTTCCCTTTACAGCATCCTTGTTTTCCCTTTATTTCCTTCTCTGGCGTTATTTTTTTATTTTTATTTTTTATTTTTTTGTATGTTGCTTGTTTTTCTACATGTACTGCATAAAACTTGAGAATATCAGACTCAGAGTAATTGCAAAGCGGCATACTCTGCTTCACTCTCCATTAGTTTTTCGTCCTTTCCTCACGGTGACATATGTATCCCACTGGCCCATTTAATTTGTCTTCTTATCTTCTGGTTTTGTCTCCACCTCCTGTTGTTCATGTTGCTCAATTTCCTTTATTTGGTTTTGTAGATGAACATCGCCATCTGCTGGTGGGTTTGCATTAGCAGTAATTGACGTCGTTTTTGTTGTTGCTAAAGCTGTTGTTGTTTCAACAGCATCGCCGATGGCATGAATGGAGGTAGAGTTTTCTTGTTTATTATTGGCTAGCAATTGTTGGCTGGAAATGTCCAATTCACTGATGCTATTCTGTAGATGTAATCGAGGGTGTTTGTGTTTTATTATTATTTTTTTTTTTGTTTTTTTTTTTTTGGTAAAAGAAGGGGAAGAAAGTAAATGTTGTGTGATTAATAAATAAGAAGAAATAATGACAATGGCAACTAAAGCATTATTTTACCTACATACATATGTACATACATATATAAGTACTTACAAACAAACTTAGTAAAAACTTACAAATCGGAAATGTCGCCTTAAAATATATTTCTCTTAATTAGAGAAAAAATTTTGATAATAAATACGCAATGCTACTACGCAATAATACTATGTTCTTTCAATTGTGAGCGCTCACAGCTGGTATAAATTGTATGTCAACATTGTGTAAAGTTAACTTCAATAAAAATCAGTTTTTGTAAGCGCAGGGAGGGCAGAGAGATTGGGAGTCTTAAAATCATTGTCATGCTCGCTTAGTTAACTTCGCAAATTAACTGTGGACTCGTCTCTAAATCATCTTCAAGATTTTCTAAATAAAAAGCAGGGTACAAATAATTCTTGCAGCTTGGGGGGCAGTTAATATGATGTTGCATATTTTTAGGCAGCAGTGCTTTTGTTTTAGAGAGTTTCGGGAATAAAAATTTAAATAGTGTGAGGCGCACTCTTCTTTAGAAGCCAAACATTTACTCGAAGGTAATACGAGTATCATCAAGAATTTCCACAAAAATTAGATGATTTACAGATCCCACTTGACAAGGCGCAGTGGGAGCAGCCTCCGCTTGAAATAACTAAAACTTGGAACTTATTTTTTTTTATGAAAATTTGAGTTATCCATGCGCGAGATCTACTGCAAACGTCCCGAGAAACAAGCAACTCACCAAAAATAATAGCTCTACTTTCACGCGACGACCAAACTTAAAGCATAACTATAGTCACAACTGCTTTGCACAAAAATATGCCGCAAAAACTTAATTATATTTGTGCATTTTTGTGAATCTTTTAGGCGCTTAGAATAATTTTTTTCGGCATATTTTAAACTGCAGTAGCTATTAATATAGCCTTTTTCTTGTTAGCCACAGTACCCGCTTAAGCCAATTCTGGCTGAGTTCAATAAATCATGTCCTTTTTTCTGTGCCAACTGATGTTAAAAGAAAATCCCCAGGGAAGTCTAGAAGAGGCCTTCCTTTTCCCCTGCTACCACCAGCGGTGGAAACGTGCCTTCTTGTTTTTCGATTCGGATACAGCTATATAGCCTGATAAATTCTTTAATGCTGAAACCTAGTGTTGCAGGCTACCATGTTTCGGGCCTCTTCGAATTCGATCAGCAACGGCCCGCTAACGGATGTTTCGTCGTCGTGTCTGAATTTACCAACCACGTTGGGATCAACGATTCCTTTCTTTCCCACCCTGGCATTGACATCACCTAGCACGTTTTCTTGTCATGTCAGGGATAGGGTTGGTAAGCGAACTTCGTTCTCGTCCACCAGGCTGAACGGTCTCTCTTCCATCACAAATCCAACATCGAATTTGGGCTCCTTTAGTTAGTAGTTGCAAGGAATGTTATCTCTAACATGTTGAACGATTTCACCATGCTGGTTCCAAAAGCTGTCAGCAAGGCACCCGGTGAGAAAACCTTATTCGAGCAGGCTTGAAGGCCCCAAGATGGTATTTTTTTTAAAGAAATTGATTCGATAAACACCGCTTCGCCAAATATATGTATGCACATCGAAAGAAATTATTTGAACAGAAAGAATACACCCCATTCCTACGCGATGTTCAATGCATTGCGATTATTTGAATTAGGTTTTCCCGCCGGGTGAACGGTGCTAGACGAAAAAAAAAATGTCTACGATTCGAGCACAATGTTTTTTCTATAGTTTTTGGACAAAATATGATAAAGCACACAATCAAGCATTTTATGCAAACGGCTAAAATAGGTATTTGGGAACTAAAAACAAACAAAAAAGCAAAACAAAGTGTAGAATAAAAAATGTTATGTGATTTGGAAAGCAGAATACCAACTTTTTTTTTTTAAATTTACAAACTCAAAACTTAAAAAAACTTAAAAATGTTGTTTTTAATTTTGCTTAGTATACATTTTTATTTCTTTTTTTATAAACATTGCCAATTTCAAAAAAAAAAAAAGTGTTTTATATATTAATACTTAAATGCTTAATACACTTTAGTGACCAATTTCGATTATTATACGAACTAAAGGAATATAAAAAATAGTTTAACAATAATTACCTAACATTTTAAGTACAATTACATTTACTTAAGTACAATGTACAATGTTTAACGATGAACATAACTTAGCGGGTTCTTGGGTTATGGGCTGAAATGTAATCCTGAGCGAAAGAAGGGACAAAGTCTGAAAGTGTGGACCAATTTTTTGGCAGGAAAACCTTTAATCAATAAAAAAGAGAAGTGTATTGCAGCAAAAGTTAATTTCAATTTTGATGGGTGATAGGTGTTGAAGTTTAGAGTATTAATTGATTCCTATTAAGCAAAATGTAAGTTTTACATTAGATGAATTACTATAATTGTTGGAATGCAACTACAAAGGGATAGGCAAGCGAAAGGCACAAAATTGAAGGTTGAAGAAAGCGTGCATTTTGAAGTGGAAAGTAGGAGTACTATTAGTATAGGAAGTTGAAGATAGAAAGTAAAGAAATGTAAGACTTACAGTGAGGAGCCAAAATGTCAAAATGGTGTTTTTTTTAACCGACTTCAAAAAAATTAGGTTATCAATTCGTCGGAATATTTTTTTTTAATGTATGTTACCGCATAACTTTGGATCACGTCAGCGGATTTCTATAATTATATTTTTTTTTTTTTGTTAAGAAAGTTGGTTTAGATCCGATTATTGGATCATGAAGAAGTTTACGGTACTCTTAAATTTTTATATGAAAATTGAAGTCGGTTTTATTTTTTGCTTAAAAACTACTTGTTTAATACTAACCACGTTTTGCATATTAAAACTTTTTTACTGCTTTAATCAAAGTTGGAATTTTCACAAAATTTGCATACTTTATGATATGCTTTTCTAAAAAATTTCTAAGTATGCAGTTTTATAACCCATGAAATTTTACTACAATAAAGTGCAAGTTGGAAGGCTTTAAAAATCGCGTTGATTTTTAATAATTTCTTTTCTATATTGCGGTTTTTCAACGAATGTAAATATAAATATTTTATGGAATAAAATGCGCAAGACCATCTGCAAACAAAATAACACCAATACTTTCATAATTTACATTTGTTACAAAGACCATCAGCAAAAAAAAATTCAAACTCAACGCGATTTTTTCGAGTCTTCAAGCTTGCACTTTGTTATACTAAAAATTCATGGTTATAAAACCGCACACTCAGAAATGTTTTAGAAATTCAGATCATAAAGTAAGAAAATTTGTTGAAATTTTAAGAATTTTTCTATTTTATGTTTAAGTGGTTTTTATCAGAAATCAACAAAAAAATTTTAACATGAAAAACATTTAATAGGGTTAGGCCACTTCTACTCTCATGGCATCAAATAATGTAAGGTTTTCGAAAGATTAATGATAATGGGATATTTTTTACAAAAGCTTAAATAATTTTGAAGATTTTTATTAGTTTTGAGTGCTAACATAGACTAAGGTTATTGTCGTTTTGAATTTATTTTCAAGAGTCCAATGTGTAATTTAAATTTAAGAAAAAGTCGACTTTAAACATTGCCAAAAGTTTTTTATACACAAGCCATTAAAAAATATAATTTTGTTAATATTATATCCAACAAGCATCCCTTTTGAATTTTAAAAAGTTTATTTATCAGCTATTGCAAGCAGTTTTGCGGTTTTGTATATCCCAATATGTACCTACCTACATGTTCTTAACGTCGACTTTAACTTTTTCCTGGATTAAGGTACGATTAACAATTACAAATGACGACGAGTGTACTTAACACAATTTAGTTTTCAGTTGTTTTGTTAGTGCTCAGGTTTCCCAGCCCATAAGCTAGTGAAAAGTTTACAGTTTTCAGCTTAAATCCAACCCATAAGCTTCGCAAACAAACCAAAGAAAGAGATCATACAAATTTTGACTTAAACTAACTTATATTATTTGGTGTTGTACATAAAGCTAAACTGCAGTGTGATTGATATTAAAGCGTTAATACACCTACAACACTTAAGTAAACGCCTTCGTATTTAACCATTCCATACTCACCCTCATCATTTTGCGCAATTTCATTGAGGTGCCCATGGACTGTAGACGATAGCGTTCCTTGGCACGTTCACGTATCTTCTCGGGCACGACCAATAATGTGGTGATAATATTGCCGCTGAAGAGCAGAAGGAACAAGCCGCACAACACAGATACCTATAACAAACGAAATGTAACAAGAAAAATGGTTGAGTCAGCAAAATTAAGATTCAAAAAAAAAAGAAGAAAATGAGAGACGAAAGGCAAAAAGTCAATAAGGATTACATGTACATACAGGGGAGCAGGGCGGCAACAGAGCCGGGCAGAGCGCGTGCAGATAGGGCGCTTGCAAGCGAATTAGCTGAATGAATTAATCAATTAGCCAGCAAATCAGGCACAATCAACCAATGCATTAAACCTAGGACGAAAGCCAAACGCACCCAAATATGTATGTAAATGCATGCTAGCGTCTATATACTTAAACAGGCACAGGCACAAGGACAGACAAATGACTCAGCACTTTAAGGTGCTCCACAAGCATGTCTACAAGTGTGTACATATGTACATACGCCCGCCAGTCGCCTGCTGTCGCTCAAGCAGCCACTCAATAAATCACACACAATCAGGCATTGACAAACATCTACAAAAACACACACACTAATAGACTCCCTCACTCATTTAATTGTTTCCATCCCGGCGACCTCGTTGGCCAAACTTACATGCCATGGCGCTCCTGGCGGTTCCGTTGTCAACTTGTAAAGGGTCCAGGCGTTGTATGCTTGGAATGTATAGCCGCCGAATAGGAATGGTAGCAGAAAACTCAAACCACGCCACATCCACGAATGGAAGCCTTCAATGGTGATATCCATGTTGTGACGTTCGCCGAGCGCCTTCAGTCGATAGAGCAAACCCTTTTGGTACCCAAATTGCAAATACTGCACAAGGTCTGTGTGAATGAAGAAACAAACAAAAAAAGCAGAAAACACAAAAAATGAAAAGGATGTATGAATAACAAAGTAGTATGCTTGCTGTTGTTGTTTTTATGAATGGCGATGATTTTCAGTGGTGGTACAGAGGATGAGGGTAGCTTGTTATAAATAGGCAAAGCGCAGTGCAAATAAATCAGCAATTTTTAGAGGGCTTGCTTTTGCATAGCATTACCAAGGACAAGATAGGAGAATCTATAGGGGTATTCACGATCCGGCGCATACTGTCTAGCATGGTGCATAGATAGCATCATTGGCTAATTTTGCTATCTATGCACCATGCTATACCATATGCACCGGATCGTGAATACGCCTTATGTATTTATGTGTGAAGATGACACAGCGCAATAATATTTATGTTTTCACTGCTCCATGCATACTTACTTATATAGACATTGAAGTACATGAATTGCGTGCGGAATAGCTGCCAATGCTCGCCCTGCGGCCACACAAGCAATACACCAGCGGCTGCCGTTGAGATAAAGTGATGCGCTCGCCACCAGCCTTTAATGCGTGATCCATTTACTTTGAGTATCGATTCACGAATGGTGAGTGTACAGTAGTACCAGACTAGTAGAAAAATGTAGGCAAGTTCGAGGGCCCTAAAAATGGAGAAAAAACAACAAGTTGTTTATATTAGTTAAAAAGCAACAGATTAAAAACACATGTAGCAGTGATAGGTAAAATAAATGTAAAAAAAAAACAATATGCAATAATTTGTCACTGACACCAAAATGCCATGGAATAACCATTTACGATAAGGTTACGGTAATGATAACAACCTGTATACATACATAGGTTTATATTCCATTAAACTTTTTATAATATATTATCGAAATATGATCGATAAACCTATCTAACAACTTTATAACAATCCATTTTCTCTGTATTGTTAGGAGATTTTGCTACGATACATTTCCTCCATATTGCTATCGATTTTGTTACGATGTATTTTTTCAATATTTTTATCGATTTTCTACGATACCGTTATCGATTTTCTTAGGTTAAATTTTCTCTATTATGTTATCGATATACAATCGTAAATCATAACCGATAAATATATCGACTTTT